TTAATACATAACTAAAAATCCTAAAATTATTTGATCTCTCCCAGACTCCCACCACTCATTTTCTGTCCTCGGTGCCCTCTTTCTCATCTCCAACTCTCTCTCATCTTTGCTAAAATAGTCGAAGTTTGATTAATTTCAACTAGGCCTGGCAAACGGGTCGTGTCTGTCGTGTTCGTGTAACACATGTTATCTTAACGGGTCGTGTCGTGTCACATCTGTTATCTTAACGGGTCCTTAACAGGTCGGGTCACTTTACCCAACGGGGTAAAGTGACCCGACCCATTATGACCCATTAAGAAAAATATAAATTTTCTTAAATTTGCACATACCACACATTACCACATAAATATTACTTCAAAACATTAAAACATATTTGTCATTTAAGTACTACATCTACATTCGAAAATAAGAGCCTAATAAAAAAAACAAGTTTGACAGTTGTGATCTCGAAGCATATACAAACAAGTTTGACGGTTGGATCGTTAAAATTAGTTTCATAGAATTCGTATCTCATCAAAACAATAGATTCACTAACACTTAGAATTTATTTATACTTTCATTAAGTATAACATAAGATTTTGTGGTATCCACTTGTGTAAATATTTTAAACTGACGATCAAATTCATTCATTGTATTCGTATAAGGTCAAGGAGTGTAGTTGTAAAAAATTATCAAAATTGGAGTTAAAATAACCGTTAAATCGTGATGTTTTGTTTTTTAACCGTCGAATAGTTTTGTCTAATTACTTGATCTCTGAATGTTTGTTTTTTGTGATTTTTGGCGTATGCGATCTCGAAGCATATACAAACAAGGTTAACGGTTCGATCGTTGAAATTAGTTTCATAGAATTCGTATCCCATCAAAATGATAGATTCACTAACACTTAGAGTTTATTTATACTTTCATTAAGTATAACATAAGATTTTGTAGTATCTACTTGTGTAAATATTTTAAATTGACGATCAAATTCATTCATTGTATTCATATAGGGTCAAGGAGTGTAGTTGTAAAAAATCATCAAAATCGGAGTTAAAATAATTGTTAAATCATGATTTTTTGTTTTATAACCGTTGAAACGTTTTGTCTCATTACTTAATCTTTGAATATTTTTTTTTTGTGATTTTTGGCGTATGCGATCTCGAATCATATATAAACAAGTTTGACGGTTGGATCGTTGAAATTAGTTTCATAGAATTCATATCCCATCAAAACGATAGATTCACTAACACGTGAAGTTTATTTATATTTTCATTAAGTATAACATAAGATTTTGTGGTATTCACTAGTGTAAATATTTTAAATTGAAAATCAAATTCATTCATTGTATTCATATAGGGTCAACGAGTATAGCTGTAAAAAATCATCAAAATTGGAGTTAAAATAATCGTTAAACGTGATTTTTTGTTTTATAACTGTCGAAAAGTTTTGTCTCATTACTTGATCTCTGAATGTTTGTTTTTTGTGATTTTTGGCATATGTGATCTCGAAGCATATACAAACAAGTTTGACGGTTGGATCGTTAAAATTAGTTTCATAGAATTCGTATCCCATCAAAACGATAGATTCACTAACACTTAGAGTTCATTTATACTTTCATTAAGTATAACATAAGATTTTGTGGTATCCACTTGTGTAAATATTTTAAATTGACGATCAAATTCATTCATTGTATTCGTATAGGGTCAAGGAGTATAGTTGTAAAAAATCATCAAAATCGGAGTTAAAATAACCGTTAAATCGTGATTTTTTGTTTTATAACCGTCGAAACATTTTGTCTAATTACTTGATCTCTGAATGTTTGTTTTTTGTGTTTTTTGGTGTATGCGATCTTGAAACATATACAAACAAGTTTAACGGTTGGATCATTAAATTTAGTTTCATAAAATTCGTATCACATCATAATAATATATTCACTAACACTTAGAGTTTATTTATACTTTCATTAAGTATAACATAAGATTTTGTGGTATCCACTTGTCTAAATATTTTAAATTGACGATCAAATTCATTCATTGTATTCGTATAGGGTCAAGGAGTGTAGTTGTAAAAAATCATCAAAATCGGAGTTAAAATAACCGTTAAATTGTGATTTTTTGTTTTATAACCGTCGAAAATTTTTGTCTCATTACTTGATCTCTGAATGTTTATTTTTTTTGTGATTTTTGGCGTATGCGATCTCGAAGTATATACAAACAAGTTTGATGGTTGGATCGTTGAAATTAGTTTCATAGAATTCGTATCCCATCAAAACGATATTCATTAACACTTAAGAGTTTATTTATACTTTCATTAAGTATAACATAAGATTTTGTGGTATCCACTAGTGTAAATATTTTAAATTGAAAATCGAATTCATTTATTGTATTCATATAGGGTCAAGAAGTGTAGTTGTAAAAAATCATCAAAATCGGAGTTAAAATAACCGTTAAATCGTGATTTTTTGTTTTATAACCGTCGAAAAGTTTTGTCTCATTACTTGATCTCTGAATGTTTGTTATTTGTGATTTTTGGTGTGTGCGATCTCGAAGCATATACAAACAAGGTTGACGGTTGGATCGTTGAAATTAGTTTCATAGAATTCGTATCCCATCAAAACAATAGATTCACTAACACTTAGAGTTTATTTATACTTTCATTAAGTATAACATAAGATTTTGTGGTATCCACTAGTTTAAATAGTTTAAATTGAAAATCGAATTCATTTATTGTATTCATATAGGGTCAACGAGTGTAGATGTAAAAAATCATCAAAATCGGAGTTAAAATAACTGTTAAATCGTGATTTTTTGTTTTAAAATAGTCGAAACGTTTTGTCTCGTTACTTGATCTCTGAATGTTTGTTTTTTGCAATTTTTTGCTGATGCGATCTCGAAGTATATACAAACAAGTTTAATGGTTGGATCGTTGAAATTAGTTTCGTGTATCCCATCAAGTTCAATGGTGTGTATATATATATATATATATATTTATTATGTAGATTTAAATCTATTTATTTTGTACGTATAATTATTATGGTTTTTAGGGGTATAAAATTTAATTTAAAACTTAATATATATATATATAATTATTATAGTTTTAAACTTTTTAGGGGTATAAAATTGTTAAATTAATATATATAATTATTATAGTATTTTTTAGGGTTATAAAATTAAATTCCGCTTATCGTGTATCGTGTTACCCACGTGTTTACCCGAACCAACCCATTATCTTAACAGGTGCTTATCGGGTTACTCGATAACACCCGATTCGTTATCGTGTCGACCCGAACACCTGTTAATTTCGTGTCATGTCGTGTCGGGTTATCGAGTCGTGTCAGGAATTACCAGGCCTAATTTCAACAGTGCAACTATCACCTGTGACAACAAAATATAAATATAAATATATTTATATAGGGTAGTTCTATATGAAATCAGAGATTTGCACGTAATATATATACTGGTCAACAAAAAGATTTCTTTAATTTCAACATCCTTATGGATGCAGATGCATGTCGCTCAAATGGGAATTCTACTCCCAAACTTTCTCAGATATACAAATTTCTTTTTTAATTTTTAAATTGTTAAAAAAATATGTGGCCAGATAAAACAAGGGTAAATGGATTAAAAAAAGGATAAGAGGGTTAAAAAACGGATAAACGGGTAAACAGATATATGTGGTTATGATTAAACCGGTATATGGTTATGGGTATGGTTAACCATTTATAAACGGTTATGAGTATGAATATAATCGTTTATGCAATTACTCATTGGTTAAACGTTTATGCGGGTAAGAGCTTAAACCGGTATGGATAAATAACCATAGTTACCCGTCAGCCATAACCGTTGTCCATCTCTATGAATATCTCTTTAAACTCAAATTTACTATCTAAACTAGCTTCACAAACCTAATTCAAAATGTAAATTTATCTTTACACTCATTTAAAAATTAAAATCCCAAACTGAATAATTTGGTGAAGTTTCTACTTGTTTATGGGAATGAAAGCTTTTTGGACTTCAACTTCTGTGGACAAGTTGAATAATTTGATAAAGTTTCTACTTATTTATGTCAAGTTGAATAATTCGATAAAGTTTCTACTTATTTATGAATCTTACGTATAAACGTTATATATGCATCCAAAAATGTAAAACTTTCTTGTGATTCGTTTACTCTCTACTTGCTGCAATGACTAGGCCAATCTAAACACTGCCAAAGACAACACCAATGTATGCACCCACTCACACAATGCAGTCCACCTTGTCTACTTTTCCTGTCCCTGTGGTTTTATTTTGCGGAGTAGGATCTTCTCCCCTCTCTTTTTTTCCTCCCTTTCTCTCCCCTCCTATTTGAACGGTCACGGTTAAGTCACGCTAACATCTTATATTCATTTTTTATGGCAAGAGAAAGACAAAATAAGAGAATGTGAGAGGAGGGGATGGAAGAGGATGGAAAGAGGAGGGGAGAGAATCGTAGTCCTTATTTTGCAGCATAAAGTGTCTACTTTTAGATGCTTTCCTCACCAAGGAATTCAAGGACATGGCTCCTTGGATTGCGGTAGGATTATCTCCGGATCCACTTTCTAGGGATTTTAGGGAATCCTTACATCTTAACTATTCATCGTATATCTTGTGGCTAGTTTTCGTCATGTACTATTTATGCTTAATTTTAAATAAAAAACTTAAATAATTTCTGACCGCACGATACACAATGAATGGTTAAGATGTGAGGATCTCTAGAATCCCAAAGTTTAGATCCGAATGGGATCCAATTCATTATCCAAGGATTTGGGTGTGGGTTTGATAAATTTCAATTTTATTGTTAATTTCATTTTGTATTGGATGGTAATTATGTAATAGGATAAAAAAGACAATTAATACGTGTTTAAATAAAATTTCCCTTTTCACAATCCAATTACATTTTTAACTATTTTTTTTAATAGTAATATATTTATACCAAAGAAGTTGATGAATAAATTGGTTGCAAAGTATTAATTTTTATTTTAAATTAAGGTTTTAGAGACGATACGTATGTAGTCTATCTCATAAATTCTACAAATTAATTTCACTTTTTGACATTTTCCATTTCATCAAAGGAGCAATTATCTCCCGTATACAGTGACAGATCCAATAAATAATATTAGGGTGTCAATAAGAATAGTTCGTGTAGCACACATATTATTTTTTGAACGAAATAACATGCAAATTGGCATTTCATTAGACCTTGGTAGGCCTGAGGTCATTTGCCAAGTTATATTGCACGTCTGTTGATAAATGTTAACAGCTTCCGAACGAGCATGTCAACTGATGTCAATAGCTGTTGAGTGAGCATGCCGACAGAGGCCAACTTATGCAAGGAATACAAAGACATGAGGCTAGCAACTACCCTGCCCAGTACCCCCATAAGCAATTCATTGAGCATTTGGAATGTAGCTTTGAAGGGCATCTCAAATTTACAAATGGTAGCACCCAACTTTTTCATAGAGAATTTATGAGCTTGGAGGAGTCAGCTGACCCACCTTATCTCAAGGTGGATCCACCCTGATCATATAAAAGGTATATCGAATTTCAATTTTTAGAATGAATTTCACAAAAGCATAGAATTACTTGAACACCCTTGCAACCAAGAAATGAATAGATAAGTTAGACTTGGTCACACCATTTTGGTATTAATTAATGTATCTTTATTCCCTAAGTTAAACTTGAATTAAATGGTTCCACTTTTAATTATATAATTTTTTTTGTTTGTAATAAAACTCACACCTATCGTGATAAAATGTAAATTGAGAGAAATTATTTGTATGATTATGAGTGAGCCGCTAGCTTGTTTCTCTGAAATCTTGACCTTGCAAACTTTCATGAATCATGATATTGATTTTGTAACAAGTAGTGCTATATTTATCATCCATTTGGACCATCATTTGTACTAATTTTTTAATAGAAGTAGGGTCCTCCAACACATAAAGGTCTCATCTCTATTAGAGAGATGATACAAATAGATGGTATAAATAACTGTTGAGAATGAATCCTATATTGATGAGAGGAGGGACCTTGCATGTGCTTGTAAGTAGTTGTGTTATTCTTCATATTACCAATTGGTTTTATGGTAGAACCTCAACTTTCTCCATGGTATCATAATAGGTTGTCCTATGTGTGAAGCCTAATGGGCGCACGTGCCCTACGTCACCTGAGTTGTGTTGTCCATGTCACCAGAATCGTGCACAAATTCATAACGAAGTATCATACTCCTTATAAAAATCAACAAACTTGTTCGGGCAAGATTTCCCTTGCACAGCTCCCCGAAGAGGTGGCATGTTATTTGGTCGTCGAGTGAGCTCTTGTTGCTTAGTGTGCTGCAAGATAAGTTTGTAGTTAGTTTGAAAGGTGCCCTTGTGGGGCTTTTGGTATAGGCCTTGAGGCTCGCAATCAAAACCAACTAATATCTGAGTGTGCCACTATTATCTTAGTATAACAGATTGTTGAATATGTGTGATTTAAGTTGATTACTTGCGCCCCAAGTTACTTAAACTTCTTATTATCAAAAGATTGTTTCAAATGGGTTAAGTCTGCATTAAGTTATTTTTCTTTCCTTGTAAACAAGGGCTTTTAGTTCATAATTTTGTATGTCTAAAACGAAGGGAGTTCAAAGCCCTCTTAACCACTTCCTGAATCATAGTTTGCTTTTTAATGAAACCAGGTTTATTAACTTAACCAGACTCAAATACAAATGAGACTTTTGAGTGAAAACAGTTGAAAATGACTTGAATACATGATGGAAAGTACATTAAGCGATAAATATACTAAATAAAAGTACAAAACAAAGAGACTTATGCAAGATTTAACCTTGTCGGGTAAGGTTGAACTTCTTGCAACCATTTCTGTTTATGTTTACCGAGGTTGTATGCTAAAAAGGATGAAAGGTAAATAGGTTTTACACGAGGGAATCGATACTACAACACTAAGGGAAGGTAGCAGAGCTTGTACACTAGACAAAAGATGGCTTTTCTAAGGGAACTATAGCTAAAATGACTGAATCTGGACAAGTTTAAGCTTTTTGGGTACAAATTGGCTTGAGAGCAAAGTTTGTATGTCTTTTGATTGATTGTTTGAGTGTGTCTTTTGATTGGTTGTTTGAGTGTCCTTGTCTCGGGTGTCATTTTCTCATTTTATAGGCCATTTGGCCCGACTACCTTGGCTTTGTTCTTGGCCGATGACTCTCGGAGGGCAGTGTGTCATCATTTATTTACTTGTTATGCCACTGGAAAGTGCTTTTTGGCTAATAGTGAGTTGGTCTCTGTCACCTGTCATTTCAATCATAGGCACATGACCTATGTCTTGGCTGAAATGGCTTCAATTTGCTTCAGGCCTCTCGATTGGGCTTCGAGCAAGCTTCCATTTTACTTTGGCATCCTTGGGCCTTACTAACACAAAGCCCAACTTTAAATATTAACCTAAACAATGCCCTCCTTAATCATTGTTAAGTCTGCCAATCGAGACATTAATAATGAGGTCATTGCTTGGAATAAGAAGAATGGAATTATTATGATTAAACACTAGCTGCATGCTTTAACTCGGGACTTGTACCACTATTAACATCCATTTTTGTATAAACCTTTGCACCCACAATCTCCAACATTAACTAACTGCCCATTATATAACCTCCATTTAAATTCTCAACCAACATCTCGAGCAATCCTTATTCTCCGAGCTTCTAGAATTTCCAGAATTCTCTTGCCTTCGCAGTTCTTCCTTGCTTTCTGCCTTCAACCTTCTTCACTTTCTTCCCAAAAATCGACCAATGGCACCTAATGCAAGTCCGGTGAAGGGATCGTTAATTTGCAGTGCTGAAACGACTTTCATCGCCTTCGGGCTGGCCTAAACTCATCAATTTTCTTCAAAAAATGAGGGGTTCATTCTTTGGTGTTAGCCTGGATTGCCCGAGTCCTAATTACGGTGGAAAATAACATGCTTGCAGTTAATTAGTTTACTCCTAGCCCTTACTCCGCCGAGGCTTTCCATTGATGGAGGATGAGGCTTGGTCAAAATGGGTAGACGAGCTCAAGCCCATCTAGAAACAGAAATGGATGGCCAATAGGATCTACGAGCTCATCATGCTCTCCAAGGTCACTGTCATTGCCAAGCCTAAGCTCCTAACCCAACTCTTCTCTTTTGGAACAATGGAACCAATACATTCAACTTCAGAATAGGTCCCATGTCTCATATTGTCCTTGACATGGCTTAAGTTTTCGGACTAAGGCCCTCGGGCAGATGCATGGACGTTACCCACGATTGGTCCTCGCCTTATTGCCTGACTGCTAAGAGCTCGGGTGCCTCAGAATCCATCACTCGTCTGGAGTATAACCCATCCACTTTCAAAAGTTATAAGATGTCTTTTGTGGGCTTTATCCTATTTTCACAGAAAACTTTCAGACCACCCTCTTCCACTGCAGATAGGGCTCAGGAACACATGTACTTCCTCATTTATTGGTTGAACAAGCATACGTTCCCAAACAAGTCCAAAAGAATGAAGCTAGAGTGGGTTCATTTACTGGAGGCCTTACATTCTTTCGATGACGTGGCCAATGAGCCCTTCATCTTGGCTCATCTATACCATATTCTATACGAGATGACCAAAGGTAAGTCATTTGAAACTAATCTTAACTGGCCAACCTGGATGGTCTAGCTATGACTCCAGTAGTACTTCCCCGAGTGTTGGGCGCTTAACCTAGAGTTCCCCGAAGGAGTAGCTCCAACTCGCACCTTGGCAGAGGCTTCTCTTACAAACCATTCAACCTTGCATGCCTCTACTTCTTCAAGGTTTGTCAAACTCGAGTAGACTTGGAGTGGGGTGTCTCCGTGCTAGAAGGTATCCATGGTTCTCACACTAGATCTTCCAAGATGCCTTTGGAGAAAATGCAAGCAACCATTGCAAGGAGAAATTTATGAGCTGCATCTAACAACGGGAACTGGCTTAGGGAATGCGCAGCGACCACATAGGCTATGATCGGGGGCTAGAAGTCTACCACCCCAATTTCTGTGGTAGGCAGCTAGGGTTCAAGCAGGCCATCCTGGTGCCCTACTTCAATTCCATGCATATTGGAACCTCATTCCACCTCCGCTCTCCCTCTGACATGACTTTTTGGGTAGCTCGGCGTAGCTTAGAGGTGATGAGCAGAATCGCCCACAAGCTCGTGGCGTTGAACTTTGAGTGCACTCCATCATTGGCCACTCGGTGGGAGGCTAAATGGTAAAAAAAGTACGATATAGACATCATAGAGGCACATGATCTTCTCTTCAGGCAAGTCTTCTTCAAATCCTTCCCAATGAAGGAAGAACTTGAGAACTGAAAGGAGGTGATCAACCAAAAGAACCAGCTCATTCTTATAGGTGCATTACCTTATTACTTCTATTTTACTTCTCCTTGCGATATTTCCATCACCTGTCATTTACTAACCCTTATTTTGGTCTTGCAGCCCAAGGCAACACTGAAGAAGTGGATGTCGGGCCAGAAGAAGAAGTTGCAGATGTTCTGGTTCTCCAAGAGGCCGCTGCTGAGGCAGCAAGGAAAAGGGCAGGGTTAGCTAAGTTGTTGGAGATGCTGGAGACATTTTTGATCTCTTCAGCGATTTAAAGGCCAAGGCTGGGCATGAGGTACAGACGCTGGCACTTCGGCGGGCAAAAACGACCGTAGTAGAATCTTCACAGTCTGAGCCCGAGGAACGACCTCAACCTTGACTTACTTTGCCTGGCCTGAGGAAAACTCCAACCAGAAAGAGGACCAGGTCATAGACTTCTCAATCTTCAAAGCTTTCATTTGCCTTCTAGCTAAAGCGGGCAGAAAGAAACAAAAATCCTCCAGTAAGTGATTTTAGCCTTAGTTTTCTTTTCGCAGTTTCGACTTTCCACAAGTTTGAACTAACACTCCCCGTCTCTTATACTCAGGGCCTCCTGGTACTAAGAAACCTGCCCCCACTTCCTAAAGATCGCAGTCGGGCGCAGAGGTACGACATGAAAACAATGAGGTCCTTAATATAATCCACGAGGAATTAAAGGTATGGTCTTCATTTCTTAAGCACTAAGTTCTTTTTGAAGTTCACTTTCTTTGACCATTGTGCTAATTCTTTGCTTGTTTGCTTGTAATAAAATACTCGAGGCGAATGGATCTCCCAGCCTGAGCCTTCTTCTCCTTCAGCCTGAGCATCGCATATTTCTCCTCTTCGGGCTAAGCCCTCAAAGGTATAATTCTTTCTTATTCATGGTTAAGCTTATGATTTTCCAAGTTTTGAAACTAACAACCATCTTCCTTTTTTTATAGGCAAATGTTGGGGTATCTGCTTATTCAGTTGGGCAAACCTCAGCTTTCACCTCTTCAACTATTCTTCCAACGATGGTGGTGACTCCCACTTCCCAGTTTAATCCAACAACTGGGGAGATGTTGCACTTCGTGGATGATGGTAGTATTTCAATAAGTACCTTTTTTCTCAAGCCCTTCTAAATTTCCTTTTAGGTTTTCCTTTAACTTATACTTATACCTTGTTTTA